ATCCACTCCTGGGATACACACCTGGGATACACTCCTGGGATACACTCCCTGGGATCCACTCCTGGGATACACACCTGGGATACACTCCTGGGATCCACTCCCTGGGATACACTCCTGGGATCCACTCCTGGGATACACTCCTGGGATACACTCCTGGGATACACACCTGGGATACACTCCCTGGGATACACTTCTGGGATACACTCCTGGGATCCACACCTGCACTCCCTGGGGTCCCTGCTGGAGCGGGGAGCTCACCAGGCCTTGGGAATCTCCCCCATCCGGAGCTCTGGTGATCCCGATCCCAGGATGATCCCAGGTTTATCCTGGATGATGGCAAAGGAGGGCAGGGAGGTCATCACAGAGCCGTGGAGTGGAGTGGGTTGGGTTGGAAGGACCTTGGAGAGCCATCTCATTCCACCCTGGAGCTTCTCATCCCCCCATGAGATCCGTCCCATCCCACCCTATCCCATCCCATCCCATCCCATCCCATCCCACCCCCTGCCGTGGGTGGGGAATTTCCACTAGCCCAGGTTGCTCCAGCCTGGCCTTGGCCACTCTCAGGTATTGGGAAAAGGGCTGGAATGCTGATGGATGTGGGATCCTGGTGCTCCATAAATCTCTGGGTTTGACTCCCGTGGTGCTCCCGGGAAAGGTCCTTCAGAATTCCACACTCCGGGGCAAATCCCACCCCTCGCAGGGCCTGGTGAAGCAGGGCCAGGCCTGGAGCTGCTCCTTGGCCTGGCATTCCAGAGGTTTGTGCTGTCCGTTCCCTGATGGATCTGGGGGTGCTTTGCTGCTGCAGGTACCGACACGAGATGGCCCACGATGGGCAGAGGATTTACATCTTGGGAGGGGGCACGTCCTGGACAGCCTATTCCTTGGACAAGGTGAGCCAGGGCCGGCCCCAGCTCCAGGGCACTCCAGAAATCCCAGGGGGGTTTGCTTTTTTAGGGTTTTTTTTTTTTTGTTCATTTGTGGGTTTGGGATTTTTTTGTTTGTTTGTTTTTTCTTGTTGTTTTGTTTTTTTTTTATGTTTTTTATTTTATTCATTTTTATTTTCACCAACTAAAATGAAATGTCCGCTTTTCCTTTCCATTCCCATCACTTATTTTTCATTTCAATCCACCCGATCTGATTTTCATTTCATTAAATTCCCATCACTTCTTATTTTCATTTCAATCCACCCAATCTGGCTTTCATTTCATCCCATTTCCTTTGGTGAACTTGGATTTGGGGTTTTTTTTCCCCTTTCAAACCCCAAACACAGAAAGAATTTATTGGTGAAATAAAAAAAAAGTCGGCTCTCCCTTCCGTTAAATTCCACTTCCAGCAATTGGATTTGGCTTTGTTTGGAATTACAAATTCCATTTTCTGTCAGGAAATGATCTTCAGTTTCAGGAAGGGAAATTTCAGCTCTTCATTTCGTTTGGTTTCATTTCAAGAAATCTGATTTCATTTCTTCAAATTTCGTCTCAATTCCTGAAATTCGATTTAAAGTCATTTAATTTTATGAAATCACATTTAATTCTCTTTAAGGAGACAAAATGAAATGTCTACCCCTTCATTTCATCCCATTTTGTTGTTTCATTTCATCTCAAGAAACCTGATTTTATTTAATTTCATTTCGTTAAACTTCATTTCAGTTCCTGAAATTTTATTTTATTTGATTGAATTCCATTTAATTTCGTTTCCTTCAGTGAAATGAACCTTTATTTCATTTCATTCTATTTTATTCAATTTATTTCCTTCCAAAAAATCTGGTTTTATTTCATTCCATTAAATCTTCTCTCAATTCCCAAGTCTTGATTTGATTTTGATCCACAAAATAAACCAAAATTCCAACTTTTCCTTTCATTCCTTAAAGCTTCATTTCACTGCAAGGAACTGGATTTGATTTCATTTTATCCAATCTCATTTCTAATTTATTTCGTGAAATTGGAATATATTGGATATCCCACAGTGAAATCAGGGATATCCCACAGTGAAATCCTGGATCAGGGATTGTCCACAGTGAAATCCTGGATCAGGGATTGTCCACAGGGAAATCCTGGATCAGGGATATCCCACAGGGAAATCCTGGATCAGGGATTGTCCACAGTGAAATCCTGGATCAGGGATTGTCCACAGTGAAATCCTGGATCAGGGATATCCACAGTGAAATCCTGGATCAGGGATATCCCACAGGGAAATCCTGGATCAGGGATTGTCCACAGGGAAATCCTGGATCAGGAATTGTCCACAGGGAAATCCTGGATCAGGGATTGTCCACAGTGAAATCCTGGATCAGGAATTGTCCACAGTGAAGTCCTGGATCAGGGATATCCCACAGTGAAATCCTGGATCAGGGATTGTCCACAGTGAAATCCTGTTCCAGGGGATTTCAGGAGCAATAATCCCACTTTTTCCCTGCTCTCGGGTAGCAAAGCCGAGCGGGGCTTAGAGGAGGGTTTTGATCCCACTCAGTCCCCACCGGGCTCAGCCCTTGGGGGGTCACATTTGGGGTAAGAGGAGCTCTTTGGGGGTCACATTTGGGGTAAGAGGAGCCCTTGGGGGTCACATTTGGGGTAAGAGGAGCTCTTTGGGGGTCACATTTGGGG